GATCCTATGGCAAGAGTTCTTTGATATAAAGTTTAGAATGAAGCAATCATCTGTTTTCAGTTGCCGCACTAGAGTTTTTTTGTGTATTTAAAAAAGGATAAAATTTCAAATCTACAGGGAAACAGATATATCTCAGGGGCTTTTCCACTCTTTTTTATATATATTTTTTTTCCCCCCCTACAATTGTCAGGTGAATAACCATCAAAAATCTCTTGTACTGCTTGTCCTCGGGCAGTCAGTATGTCTATCATCTTCCAATTAAGGCAAAATAGCTTAGAGCTGTGATAGATCATAAAGCAACTGGGCAGCTTCAGGCCTTATAGATAAAATGCTCATGTAGTCAAGATTATTCTGTAATATATGAGTACCCACTGCTTTACATTTTAAAAGTATTGCTGGAGTGAAAACATTGAGATGTGTTTTTTTGGTTTTTAGTACAATTATAACGTTAGCTACTGAAAATATATACACAGTATTTTTAGGAAAATGTCTTGGTTTGGAAAATGTAAGTTTTATTTACGAAAGCAGTGAAATTAATTATATAAAACAAATATAAAAGCCAACAAGATGGGAAGAGGCAGTAAGAGAGGCTGATGTAGGGCAAACATCTATAAATGTAACAATCAATATAAAGCACACGGATATTTGTTCTAATTGAACTTCTAAGTAAACAGAGCTTATTCTCATTCTAATAAGGAGAATAAGCATTCTAATGCAAAAAGATGTGATTGAAAAGAATGGCAATTCACTTAAACAAGTAAAGAATGAGATGGAACTCTGTTAAAAAGTGATGGAGTAATGTGAAACAACAGTGACAACTGTTATGGTATGCTTAAGGAGGTTGGAAAGAAGAGGGGATGCGAAAGTCATTAAATAGAGAGAGTAGGAATTTCAATTGTGTTGTAAGTAGGAAATGTGAGAAAGACTACTTACATTGTTATAGGTTAATAGAAACTGAGTATCGTGAACTACTAAGTAGAAAGAGATGCTCGTTAAGATTAAATAGTTTTGGTGCATAGATGCTGTCTCGTTTTTCAGGCAATGTAAATACTGCCCTTTCTGAAAAACAGCAATGTTCATATTTTGCCTAAACTATACCTCTAGTGGCTATCAGACTTGATGTAACTAGAGGCGCTTTCTTACTGAAGACCTTCAAAAATTATAGTTAGGTATTTTTATGCACAGCATGTTAAAGCAATACTCTGTTAATTTTTTAGATTCATTACTTCTCTTTGAGTAGCACCCAGTTGACAGAGCATGGCAATTGCTACGTGTCTGCTGTCGTCTGTCCCCAATGCTTCTCTAGCAAGCATGATAATCTCATCAATGGTGCAGAGCTTCCAGAAACGAGATTGTTCCAGTGCTGGATTACAGAATTTTTTTTGTTTATTTATATTTTTTTTTAAAGGGGGTCTAAATCTAGAAAACAAAGGGAACATATGAAGGTTAACAAGATATATATTTTTTCTTTGGGAAACCCCTTCCATTTAGGGCTCTTCTGTAGGTCAAGAAAGTTATAAAGTCATTGCATATGCCGACACCTTTTTGATAATGGTAGAAAACCCCCTACAATCTTTACCTCTCTTATACAAACTAACTCCATAGAACTGTTATCTGCACTTGCTGCCTGCCAATCTTAAACCCACTTTGCGTGATAAGGAGAAATCCCATTTTGCCCTAGCATCCTCCAAAGGGACAAATGGACTTTAGAAATATTGAATAGGCAGGGGTGCAGAGATAACCTTCACTTATGGAAAGTTGGGTCGGTTATTAGCTTGACTGAGTTACAACAGGAATATCACCAACTACCAAATATTTGTTTAAGTATCTACAATCTTGTGATTCTGCATGCTCTCCATGGATTAATGAAGCTTATTCCTCTGCACGATTTCTTCTGCTTAGTGTACGGTGTATAGAATAGTGGGAGAGGGAACTGGGAGAAACTCTGGTGGAGGGTGAGTAGCAGGACTAATAGGAGGCATCCACCTGGGTCTCAATTTGTGTGTGAGTTCACAGGAACACATGTATAATTTTCTTTTCTGATGGTATAACACTCCTGTGCAGCTTTACAGAATGTGTAAAACTCCTTCAGACTCTTGTTTGTGCAACTATTCTAAAGTAGATTCTTACTGATTGGAGGTTAGGGACTATTTGCCGTCATCTTCTGGAGATCATTTTTTTATGAATTGCTAGGCATACTACCACTCTCATTCTATTTAAAGAGTCCCAGCTCACTCTCAAAAGCTATTGAATAAAATTACTCTGGCAGCCCGTATGGTGCTGTCAGGGCTTTGGCTCAGGGTTAGTGTCCACTCCATACAAATGATTAAAGTGGAGGTCATGGAACATTTCCTAATGGGCAAATTAACAGCAATTGTTTGTAATTATTCACATTCCTGTAGAAAACTGTTGGATCCATGGCTGAGAGTCTACAGAGCCAAGTGGAGCTGCCTCTTCCATCACAAAAACACCTGATACAGCTAAGGCGCTTGTCCATGCCACTGTCCTTTCTCGCCTTGACTGTCGTAATCCACTTCTCAATGGTCTTAATTGTTCCCAACTGGCCCCGTTACAGTCTATAATGAATGTGGTGGCGAGGCTCATCTTCATGTCTGCCCCCACCTCCCACGGCAACCCTCTCAGTCAGTCCCTGCATTGACTTCCCATAAGATATAGGGCTCAATTTAAGATCCTGATACTTGCTTACAAATCTCTGCACAATTCTGATCCGACCTACTTATCCTCACTAATACACACATATGTCCCATGTAGGCCCCTACATTCTGCCAGAGACCTACGTCTAACCGCTGTTCATACTCTAACCTCTGATGCACGCCTTAAAGAATTCTCTAGGGCCATTTCTATGGAACGCCCTTCCCCTCTCTGTCAGATTTTCACCCAGTCTCCACTCCTTCAAAAAATCTTTGAAAATATACTTCATCAGGAAAAATTAAAGTGTGAAAAGCTTTCTCTCCCCGCACACTGATTCCTCTCCTGCAACTGTCATCAAAACAAAACACTAAGCCCTCAATGAATACTAGCCTAGCAACCTACTTTTCTCCCCTACCCTTACATTTTGTGTCACTATAACCCACCCCTGTAGCATGTAAGCTCATTGAGCAGGGACCCCAATCCCTCTATTCCTGTGCGTCCAACTTGTTTGGTTACAAATATATGTCTGTTAGTCCACCCATTGTACAGCGCTGCGGAACTTGTTGGCGCTTTATAAATAATAATAATCATCCCTCTGTATTAACACATCATAGCTTGGAATACGTTAAATGTATTTCAAATAATACGATTGGTATTGTGAACACATTTTTTAAGTTCCATTTACCAAAAGACACTTTTTTAGTTTTTTTTTATTGAGAATGAAAATAAATATTGGATTTTTTTAAAATATGTAAAAATATACATTCAAATGCAATTTCTAAGCCTAACGTAGATAAGCGTGTTTGACTATACTTATAGTGCTCCGACTGGTGCATACAGAGATATAACCAACTTGGCCACGATAGAAGAAAAATATAAAAAACATTATGTGTATGAGTCTTTGGGGAAACAAAGAGGTATTTTAGATTAACAAAATAAGAATTGGGCCAGCACAGTATGATCTCTAAAAGATACATATCCTTAGTGAAGAGAGACAAATACAGATGAAAAGTGGATAAGACCAAAATATTATCTGAATAAATATGCGAGGCAAGAAAAGACAAGGCAAAAAGAGGCACAGCACTGAGCAAAGGATTGGATGAATGGTATCTAGCAAGACTTTGGACCTTGCGTAACATATTTCTCATAGGTCCCAGAGGTTCCATTCTCAGATCCTTGCTGTTTTCCATATTTATTAATGATACAATTGAAGCTTGTAACACCAAGTGTGCAAAATGCACCATGATACACAACAAAAACTACATACCGCAACTTAGGGATGTCTATTGAAGTATGTTGAGAAATTAATGTCTAATAGCAAAAGGTTCCTAAATCCTTACATAAATGGCACAATAGTTTTTGGAAAGAAGCTAGCATTGTATACATTAAGCAATCCTCAAATAAATATCAATATATTAAATTTGACTCCAGTTAGCTCCTGTACATGTTTGGAGTGTGACTAGTCCGAGCTTCAAGTGTCCATCATATTCAAAAGTCATACTTCCTCTCTCAAAACAATTATTGTAACATTAACCTTTTTTATGCTTAACATTTGATCATTAACATCTTTTCCGAGATTTTAAACTAGAAATATATATATTATTTTATTTCTTGAAATTGTATTTTATAAGTTTAATTGATCTGATAGAAATACGTTCGAACCACATCCCTTTTAAAAATGATGGATGTGGCTATATCGCTAAACGTGACTGGTGGGTATAAGACAGTGATGGCGAACCTATGGCACGCGGGCCACAGGTGGCACGCCGGGCCCTTTCTGTGGGCACGCGGCCACAGGTTCGCCATCAATGCAGAGTAGGCGCCTGCCCGAAACGGCAGGCGCCTACTCTGCTTCCGGGTCGGGAGGCAGGGGGAGGGCTCCAGGAAGCAGCTCCCCTGTCCTCCCGCGCGATGCTGTGTGGAGCGTTGCCGCGCGTTACCATGGCAACGCTCCACACAGCATTGCGCGGGAGGACAGGGGAGCTACTTCCTGGAGCCCTCCCCCTGCAGTGCTTACCACCACCGGACCACCAGGGATCGCTGTGTCCCCCTCCTCCCCCCTCATTAAAGGTAAGAAGGAGGGAGGGGGGGTATACTGACACAGCACCCTTACCCCCCCAGAAGTACCCCTACCCCCCCCAGCAGGCACCCCTACCCCCCCAGCAGTAACCCCTACCCCCCCAGCAGTAACCTCTACCCCCCCAGCAGTACCCCCTACCCTGCCCTACCCACCAGCAGTAACCCCTACCCTCCCCGCGTAACCCCAACCCCCAGCAGTAACCCCCCTACCCCCCAGCAGTAACCCCTACCCCCAACAGTAATCCCCCTCCCCAGCAGTAACCCCTACCCCTCCCCAGCAGTAACCCTCACCTCCACAGCAGTACCCCTACCCCCCAGCAGTAACCCCTACCCCCAGCAGTACCCCTTACCCCCAGCAGTACTCCTACCCCACAGCAGTACTCCTATCCCCCCAGCAGTACTCCTACCCCCCCCACACACTGTGGCGAAACCAACATCTCCACTGTGAACTGGAGAAGCCTGGTTGCTCGCCTGCTCCCTTTGGACTATGGCCCTGCAGGTTAAACCGTTTATTTCCCCTGCAGAAAGGCTTATTTGTGTGATCTGAGTGCCATTCATCTAATAATGTGCACTCAGATCCCAGCTATCCGGGGATATGTGAAATGTCTGTGTGTTATGTGTAAAATTTGACTTTATGTATTTGAAAGTGTTTTGTGTCTTTTTGCAACCATGTGCTTAATGGAGTCTTGTGTCTGTCCTGGGAGATAATTGAATTACTTATCTCCAGGATAGAAGACTCTGAAACTGGTTTGGGCCAGAAAGCCATGCTTCATTTAGTCACAAAGGACTTTTTACTAACTTTTGAACCCCTGGTCTGATTCATGCCATTTTTTAATATGTTGTTCCCCTGAATGGATTGATTGTGAAAATGTATGTAATTTATGTGAATGTGATGTATGGTTTTAGAGTTATGAAAGTTGGGTAGAAAGTATGTTTTAACTGTATGTGTAATTGAGTTTCCTCTCAGGATAAGGGGAGGGAATATGTGGGATGTAACTGCGATGTGACACAGCTTTTGTAACGCCCTGTGGGCTGTACTATGTTTGTGGATTGGGAATAAAAGAGACTGTATGTGACAGTACAGGGAGTTCCTGTTTTAACCCTCAAAGTGAAGTGTCGTCTCATTATTGGGGGAAGGATTTATTGTATGCTGTTCCAGTTTGACTGCTAGGAGAGTAAACCTATTCGTATGGTTCCTATTCAACTGTCTACAGCATTCTTATGCTTGAGAGAAGGTATACGCTTCTCTGGTTCGGTGATTGTGGTGTCTGCTGCAGTGCTTGGAGTCCTCAGGAAGCGCTAGGAGCATCTTTCAACGGAGGTACCCAGTCGGGGTGCCAGGTGATCCGTTACAATGGTGGCAAGCGGTGGGATGGCGTCCTAGTGCGAGGTAAAGCAGCTCAGAGACACAGTTCGTGGATTTACAAATTGAAGGTGACGCTAGTGTTCATACAGCGTCCCTGTCTACATAAAGATTTGGGAAACCAGCACTACTTCAGAGATGGAAGGCCGTGCAGTATCTCACTTTGACGCCAGGCTCCAGCAGCGACTACAGGATGTGATGCGCAGTATGGAGTATCCTATCCCAGAGGAAAGAGAGACAGAGTGGAGGGTGGCGCTTCGTACCGATCTCTGGAAGGAGGACATCGACGAAATTCGACCCTTCCGGTGCGAGGAAATCCTGACCACTAACCAGTGCCAAGCAGAACAACTAGAGCTGCGGATGCCGTTATTGGGAAACCAGCCCTCAGAGGAATGGGTAAGCGAACTGGAGACGCTAGTTGAGACTGAGGTGTGGCTGGATGATTCCTATCGGGCCCTGCGGTGGCATGTTTACCACCTCTACCCATGGCTGATTGAGTACAAGTGTATTGAGGGGGAAGATTACGATGGCCCTGGTTTGTTGTGGGATACTATTGAAACTAGTCTCTGGTTCGGAGACACCGACATTGCTCGCTTCTGGTCCATCCGAGCTGAGCGGGCAGACAACTGGGACCTTACAGAGATCGATGCCATTCAGCCAGATCTATCTTTTCTTGCCAACCCGAGAGTGGGAACTAGAACAGGATTATGTTTGCCTATTCCAACGTATAACGCTGCCTGTCTCTGACATGATGGGGCTTATTGACTGTATACCACCGGAAGCATTGAGTTTAGTTCCTCCTCCCCAGCAACCAAGCCTGTTATCAGGAGACTTTGGTACTGTACCACATATGTCCCAACCAGCCCCAGAGATGGAAGACCTTATTGACTTGTCCTGGGAAGACACCCAGCTGGCAGGTGGGGATGGGACCGAGGTCTCTCTACAGGCCCTACAGGGATGCTGGGCAGTCAGCCCAGATCCCCAGCAGCAGTATGTATCCCAGGGAGCTGAAGGTGCTGTACTTCCTCCCCAGCGGCAGTGTGTCCTGCAGGAAGCGGAGACAGTCGGTCTCGCTCCCCAGCAGCAGGGCAATATATTAAAAGGGGAGACAGTTGGTCCCCCTCTCCAACAGCAGAGAGTGTTCCAGGGAGAGGAACCGGTTATCACCGCTCCCCAGCAACAGGACAAATTATTGAAAGGGGAGACAGTCGGTCTCCCCCTCCAACAGCAGAGAGAGTGTCAGGGAGAGGAGCTTGTTATCCCCTCTCCCCAGCGGCAGTGTGTACCCCAGGGAGCAGAAGGTGCCGTCCTTCCTCCCCAGCGGCAGTGTGTATCCCAAGAAGCCAAAGGTGTCGTCCTTCCTCTCCAGCGGCAGTGTGTATCCCAGGAAGCCAAAGGTGTCGTCCTTCCTCCCCAGCGGCAGTGTGTACCCCAGGGAGCTGAAGGTGCTGTCCTTCCTCCCCAGCGGCAGTGTGTACCCCAGGAAGCAGAGACCGTCTGTCTCGCACCCCAGCCGCAGGACAAAATATTGAAAGGGGAGACAGTTGGTCCCCCTCTCCACCAGCAAAGAGAGTGTCAGGGAGAGGAGCAGGTTACCCGCTCTCCACAGCGGCAGTCTACAGTTCAGAGAGAGGAGCTTGTTACACCTTCTCTCCAGCGGCAGCCTAACCCACCAAGGGGAGAGGTTACACCCCCCAACAGTGCAGATGGGACTGTAGTCTCTGCACTTACAGCACAAGGGGTAGGGACAGTCGGTCCTGTTCCCCAGCCACAGAGCGGTGTATCCAGAGGGGAGACAGTCGGTCTCTCCCTCCCACAACCAGGCTCCCACCAGGCTACCTCCGTGGTAGCACTGGCATCAGGGCAGAGTACCGCTGGTCTCTGCCCACTCAGCAACCCACCAAGGCAGCCTAACAGTTGCCCACACAGTCGTGGTGAGGCACCTGGACATGGACAAAGTTCTCCTCTACCCAGGTGTAGTAAACAGTTATTGTGGGTGGGCTGTACTGCTGTTTCTGTTTTGTGGGTGGGTTGCTGGACTAACCAGGGCACTGACCGGCAGGAGGTCAGATACCCTGTTAGTCTAGTTGGTAAAGGGGAGAAGTGTGGCGAAACCAACATCGCCACTGTGAACTGGAGAAGCCTGGTTGCTCGCCTGCTCCCTTTGGACTATGGCCCTGCAGGTTAAACCATTTATTTCCCCTGCAGAAAGGCTTATTTGTGTGATCTGAGTGCCATTCATCTAATAATGTGCACTCAGATCCCAGCTATCCGGGGATATGTGAAGTGTTATGTGTAAAATTTGACTTTATGTATTTTAAAGTGTTTTGTGTCTTTTTGCAACCATGTGCTTAATGGAGTCTTGTGTCTGTCCTGGGAGATAATTGAATTACTTATCTCCAGGATAGAAGACTCTGAAACTGGTTTGGGCCAAAAAGCCATGCTTCATTTAGTCACAAAGGACTTTTTACTAACTTTTGAACCCCTTGTCTGATTTGTGCCATTTTGAATATGTTGTTCCCCTGAATGGATTGATTGTGCATATGTAATTTTATGTGAATGTGATGTATGGTTTTAGAGTTATGAAAGTTGGGTAGAAAGTATGTTTTAACTGTATGTATAATTGAGTTTCCCCTCAGGATAAGGGGAGGGAATATGTGGGATGTAACTGTGATGTGATTGGTTGTTTTATACCTCCCTGTGGGC